TCTATAAATTGAGGATTTTTCCTTCTCATTCAGCAGCATCCACAATGTAGCCATATGGGGTTTGAGAGTAGTGTTTACGGGGAGAACTTTACGGGACAAGTGTTAGTATGTCACTTGTGTTTGCCTCTTCCTGAGGTTGTTCTCTCGATATTTTGTACTCTCTTTTTATATAGTGGATTGCTCATCTCCGCCTTGGACGTAGGTCAGTTGATCGAACTATGTTAAATGTTATTTCTCTTTTGGTATATTTCTCTTTTGTTGTTTGATTTACCGCCGTTCAAGGTTTGCTTTACTAGCTTCCACATGACATCTGATTATTTCGATACTAACAATTGCCCCTGAACTATGCGAAATGAAATAATTTTGTCCTCTATTAATAGTTGGGGTCACTTGTGGCTTCGTCATCAAAATGGCCATCCGTAGCGAAGAGGAGTGTGGTGGGACGGTTGGGTTTGCTTAGTGACGAAGCGGTATTTGATTAAGGGATTCAAAAAGATGTAATAATATCACACTTATAATATAACCTATCTCAAAAGGGATTCAATAGTTTATAAATTTTGTTTGTAACTTTTTACATAGTGTAATTTCATAGTGTAATTTCATGACAAAGGGGATTCAAAGTAGTGGCACTTAGGCATACCTGGTGTGAATCCTTATTATGGATCAGTGGTTCCGAACAGCAAATGGTTAAACTGGGGAAAAAGAAAAGCATTGACGAACAGTATGCTATCTGCTTTGTGGTTGACTTTGATATTTAATAGAACAACATCAAATGTGATCCTACTTGGATTAGTTTAGTTCTCTTTCTTCATAATCTGAAAGCAGACGAAGAATAGCTTTAGATAATATTAAAGATTTTGAAGTCAATGGGAAAAAATGCCATTTTCATATATTTCTTAATAGCTGATCGATGAATCATCAATCAATAAATAATGAAGTAAACAAAATAAATAAGTATTAAACAAGGAAAATGTCAAACTACAAGGTATACCGTTGAACATAGTTCTTAAACTATTTCTCAAATGATTCACGTTTTCCTGACTTTTTCTATGGAAAACGAAAGGAAATGGGATTGAATACCCAAAGGGATATTTGGACATACACTTTTAGGAAGCCTATTGGTTGAATTTCCAGAAAATGGCATGGCAAAGATGGGTATTTTTTCTGTTTCTGATGTTGAGAGGGATGCTTTTACCACAAGTTTTTGCTGAAAATGATACCTTAACTCAGTCCCAACAACTGTCGTTGAATCAGACGCTTGTCTCCGCTGGCAAAATATTTGAGTTAGGTTTCTTCAATCCAAGTAACTCGAGCAAACTATATCTCGGTATATGGTTCAAGAATATTCCTGGTAAGAGGATTGTTTGGGTAGCAAATAGAGAAGATCCACTATCAGCTTCTGATTCTGCTGCAATCTTGAAGATTGGAATTGATGGAAACCTCAGAATTGTAGATGGCAACCAAAATACCGTTTGGTCAACAAATGTTAGTGTCCAGTCTAACAATACAATTGCTGTGCTAACAGACAAAGGAGAATTCATTTTTAAAGATACTGTCTCTGGAACATCTTTATGGGATGGTTTTAACTATCCTTGTGATACCTTGTTATCAGGAATGGTTATAGGATACAGCAGCAGGACGGGGGTGAAACTAGTTTTATCGTCGTGGAAAGCTGAAGATGACCCATCGCCTGGAAATTTTATTGCTGGACTTTCGGTAGAAATGCCTCCTCAAGGCTTCACTTGGACTAATGACTCGAGGCCTTACAGTAGAGGTGGCCCGTGGGATGGAGGGAACTTCATAGGTGTACCTGATGACGAAAAGGGGTATGCAAGTGGTATAAATATAGTATCAAATAAGCAACAGGAATCTGCCTTTCTCAGTTTGAATACCGTCAACGATTTGCATGTTAAAATCATGGTCCTAAAACCATCAGGGATATTGCAGATGATGCAATGGGAAGGAGAACTGAACGCGTGGAAAGTCAGATGGGAGGCACCAGATAATCCGTGTGATGTTTATGGAACTTGTGGTCCTTATGGTGTTTGCGATAAGAATAAGTCTCCAATGTGTAATTGCTTGAGAGGATTTGAACCAAAGTCGACTGAGGAATGGAGCAGAGGAAATTGGACTGGTGGCTGTGTGAGGCGAACTAAACTTGTATGTGAGATCAGTACTACAAGTGGCATAGCGCCAAAGGGATCGAAAAATGACAAGTTTTTGCAGCTGAGTGAGATGAAATTGCCAGATCGCTACACGTATTTGTATGATTATGGTGCTCAGAACTGCAAAGAGTGGTGCCTGAATAACTGTTCTTGTGCAGCCTACGCGTATCCAGATGGAATTAACTGCATGGTTTGGACTGCACAACTTATGGATGTTCAGAAGTTTTCATATGATGGTGCAGATTTGTTTGTTCGTCTTGCTTATTCTGAACTAGGTAAATTCAGTTCTCACCATTATGCTTGGATGTTTAAAAAATTTATGGTGTCACCTTTTTGTAGTATAGTCAGACCTTTCTATAACAGCATTCATTCACTATAAAAGTCAAGTTTCTCCCGAAACTGAATTTTATGGTGTTACAATATATGTCCTCTAAGTAACATTTTACTACAGCAGCTAAAAAATATCGGAACAAACGAGAATGTTATAGAAAGTTTTGACTGTATAACATAATATAGTTTCAGATGAAGATAAAAGGAAGGCAAAACTTATCATCGGCTTCACAACTGTTTCAAGCATTCTCGTTCTTGGTATCTTTGGATGCATTTTCTACAGGTGGAAAGCAAGTCAAAGAGGTAAAATCTATTCTCCTGATTTCAAGAGTTTATTGCAGATCATAGTAATTGCTTAGACTAGTATCATTGTAAACCTTTTGAATTGCTTTCTTATATTATAATTTGACCTACAATGTCTACTCACATGTGGATCCAAAATAAAATCAGGAAATAGAATAAATAGGGTTAAAGACCTCATTCCGGCTGATACAACTACAGACAATTTGTGGGAAGAGCAAGTATTGCGAAAAGATTCATCAGAACTACTGCATGTTGATTTTGCTAAGTTGGAAATCGCAACTGAGAATTTCAGTGAAATAAATATGATTGGAGCGGGAGGATTTGGCCCTGTTTATAAGGTAATACGCGTCTATCTGTCGAGTGATTTACAGACGAATAACTTCCGCTGATGTGAAAACTAAAGCCATCATTGCGAATATCATACAGGGAAAACTGGAAAATGGACAAGTAATAGCTGTGAAAAGATTATCTAGTTACTCTGGACAAGGAATTAAAGAGTTCAAGAATGAAATCTTGCTCATCTCCAAACTGCAGCACAGGAATCTCGTTAGAATATTGGCGTATTGCGTTTATGGGAAAGAGAAGTTACTAGTTTATGAGTACATGGCTAATGGAAGCTTAGACACTTTGTTGTTTGGTAAGTGGTTCCAAAAATTATAATATATCTTATGATAAGGAGGTCACGGGTTCGAGCCATGAGGGTTCGAGCTATGGAAACAGCCTCTTGCAGAAATGCAGGGTAAGACTGCATACAATAGACCCTTATGGTCCGGATCACGCGTATAGCGAGAGTTTAGTGTACTGGTCTGCCTTTTTTTATGATAAGGAGTGTCATTGCTTTCTTTAATTGTATAACTATTTTTGATGTGCTGTTAATCATACTGTCAGATCCAAGCAAAAGCCATCAGCTTTCTTGGCCAAAACGTTTCAACATGATTCATGGAATTGCTAGAGGACTTCTTTACCTTCACCGCGATTCTTCATTAAGGGTCATTCACCGAGATTTGAAGGCAAGCAACGTTCTTTTGGACGATGATATGACTCCAAAAATCTCAGATTTCGGGTTGGCCAGAACCTTTCAAGTGACTCAAGAACTAAACACTCAGAGAATTGTGGGAACATTGTAAATTCCTTTGTTTCTACAGGCAGAAGTTTCTCTTTTCGCTCTTCTTGCAGCTTTAGACAAATAGTTCATAATATCAAATACTGACACATATTTATACAAATATGTTGCAGCGGTTATATGTCACCGGAATATGCCATGGGTGGACTATTCTCTGAGAAATCTGATGTCTACAGCTTTGGTGTTTTGGTACTGGAGATTGTCAGTGGCAGGAAAAACAGAGGATTTTATGATCATGACAGGCATTCGAACCTTCTTAGTTATGTAAGTTCAAATTCAAAATTAGCAGGACCTCTTTCAACAAATTCAGTATTCAAGGTTATCTACTTATTTTCCCGTACCAGTAGTATTAGTGGAAACAGTCTCTTGCAAAAATGCAGGGTAAAGCTGGTACAATAAACCTCTGTGGTCCGATCCTTCCCTGCACCCCGCACATAGCGGGAGCTTAGTGCACCGGGCTGCCCTTTAGTAGTATTAGTGTTAGTCTTGTGTTTTATTATTGTTAGATTTCTATTACTACATGTTCCTTTCGCTTCGTTTTCTTATTATCTTGTTATTGTTACTACTTGTTGCTACTGCTTTCATTTCATATTTCCTTGAGCCGAAGGTCTATCGGAAACAACCTCTCTACCTTCAAGGTAGGGGTAAGGTCTGCGTACACACTACCCTCCGCAGATCTCACTTGTGGAATTATACTGGGTTTATTGTTGTTGTAAGGTTATCTACTTATTTCCAATTTTAAAATAATTTCAGGCATGGCAGCTTTTGACTGAAAGCAAGGCACTAGATTTAATGGATAAAACACTTTCCGGCTCATTTTCTCCTTTGACAGTAGTGAGATGCATACAAATTGGCCTGCTTTGTGTCCAAGACAATGCAGCTGATAGGCCATCAATGTCATCTGTTGTTCTTATGCTAAGTAGTAGCGACATGGATCTGCCTCAACCAAAGCAACCTACATTTGTATTTCAAAGATTGTTGTATTCTGATATTCAATCACAAAGCGGCAACGCTCAGTCCGTTAATGATATAAGTATATCAGTGGCTGAAGGGCGATAACTGAAGCCCAAAATACAAATAATAAGTTTCAAGATTGACTGTACCATTCTTCTTTATGTGTACACAGCTTGTCAAAGCTAAGTTTATTCAGCTAATCAGGTCCCCTTTTTTCTTCTCTTTTATTTTCCTCCATAAGGACTGCACTTAGCCAAACTGATGCAAATAAATGAGGTCAATATGCTTGTTTTGAAAGTTTAAGACAAAATATGATTCTACTTGGGCAGCAATCTGCTTACTTTGAGTCTTTGCTGCATCAAATAATAATGTGAAAACTGTGTCCATAAAATTCTTTATTTACCAGGAAAAAAAACATTTTAACATGATCTATCACATCAAGGTTACAGGATGATAAAAAAAGGTGACAAAAATTCAACTTTATTTTCTATAGTAAGCCCCAGCAACACAGGTGAGTGGTGCTTCAGTGTGAAAGAGTGTACCTGTATTATTCCGAAAATGACTATTCTGAATGACATGATACTTATAGATTTTAGTCACCAGAGATCTTGGTTGAAGTCATAAAATTTTAACAAGAAAATAATTCAGTAACTTTGGCTTTACATCTAATTTTTCTTGGTTTGATTGTTCATGTGTATCTCATGTCAAATTTCAAGGTGGTCCAGGTAGTCAAGAAGAAAGGAGGATTATAAAGCCAGTAATTAGGCATGTAATGGAACCTTTTGCATGATCAGTGAATTCAGAAGGGTAAAAAAAGCAAAGAGAAAAAGATGCGCACAAGCTGGCCCGGACACCATTCCCGCATAAATTTAAAATAAAAAAATAGCTAGGGCATCAACAGTTTCCAACACTGGATCTGAAGAAACACATAATTATACAGGAAGAAAACTCCTAAGATAAGGCTGGGTGCTACACAAAACACTTGAAATGCAAATGTGGACAAAGTTTCACCACAAGAACTAAATATAATCTTTCTATTCCAGTGCAAGTTTGTGTAATGGGTATTTCAAGTGGAAAACAAACGAATTAGTAAGGGTCTTCGAATGTAAAAGCCTAGGAAGTAACTTCCAATTTCTTTGCATGAAATAATTAAATCATGACATTGTTGAATTCCGCCACTCGTATGAGCTTTCAATGGGGAGATGGGTACATGGGGGGGAAAAAAGAGGTAGAAGTAACAAAAAATTGATTATGTTTATCCCTGTTGCAAAAGTGCGAGGAACCTGAATGTAATGTGTTCTCAAATGCTCCCTTTAGTCAAATACCAGAGAGCAGGTTGTTGTATGTTTTCATTCATCTTGTATATTTTGTATAAATAAGTGGCAACCACGCAAAATTGGATCCTTGATATTCTTCCAGTCATAACTTACTTCCTTTTGCAGTCCTCTGTTTGTCCTCAGCTTGTTTTTGACTTAATTCTCTTACTGCCTGAAATGATTTATGAAAAGATCACACATGCATGTCAATTACAATGATTGAAAATGTTCAAGGAGCAAATGCAGGATAACAAGGGTGGAAGAGCAGGTTGAAGGGACAATGGAGAGAACTAAGAGCAGCTGACCAAAAATCAATTCATTATCTTAACCTAAAAAAAATAACAAAAATATTTCTAAGTAATAGCTAGCAGCAGTTGGTTCATCTGTCAAACCTAAATAGGCACATCGCAACAAATCCACAGTAACCCTCATGAAGATCAACCACGGATCATTTAGCATAAAGTAACAATTAGATCGACAAAAGTATCATGTAACCTTTTCCATAAGTCTTACTACATCTGACAAAAGCACTCACAAGGGAGTTCTCCTGTAACTATCCTGCACTTAAATATGTTAAGGTGGATAACAAGAGTTAGGGATGGTAAAAGTTCACTAGAGAGGAATAGAAGGAGAATGGGAATGGAGTTGTGGAGATCTGTTCTCTTTTAGTTACATGCTTCTTTACATTACTGAATTCCTTTGTTTCTCTCTGAAAGTAGTATCATCCTCTATCATCCTTAAAAGATCACAAGTGTGGCAATGATACAATTTTCCCTTAAAAATTCATAAAAACTCCTCTGAATGGACTATTTGCTTGCTTTCAGAACTTGAATAGTTAACTTGCTAAAGTGCAGTTTTGCAACTCCAGGAAAAATTCAGCCAAAGTATAATGGCTGATATTGTACTTATCTAACTCCTTTGTGATTTTCATGCCAAGAACGAATGAATTCGCAGGCTCTCTAATGTAAGGAAGACTGAAAAATAGAAGCAATAAGTATCATGCCACCACTTGATGACAACATCCTTATAATCAACTCTAGCAACAGTTAGAAATTAGCTGAAACTCACGAAAGCAGATGGAATGAAACTTATCAGCACTCAGTGTTTACACAAAACCAAGCAATTGAACCTTAAGAGATTCAAATCAAACTGAAAATATCTACTACTTAAGCATGGTTAAGTGATAAAAATTTATATCCAAGAAACATGTCTTGCATTTATTTGCTTGGTGCAAACACTGAGTGTGGGTAAGTTGTTTCCTTCTCTTGATGCCCGGACTGCATATTAACTTAAAGACGACTAAGTCCTACACTGAATAACAATCACCTCCGAAAAGTAGAGTCGAGTATTGTGGATGCAAAGGCAAGGCAGATTTAGGATTAAAAAAATGCATTCTCAATTTAAAGATAAAAATGAAAAGACAGAAAAGACTGAGCTATTCAATGATCATAATCAAGAGTGGTCATTAACCCCTACAAGTGACGAAATATACAGCTAAGACCTCACACATTTGCACAGGAGCAGCTAGAGGATAATTTTCGGTTTAATAAATGATAGCTGCTAATGCTGACAGTCCATTAAGTAAAACAAAATCACGAGGTATCCAGATTCCATAACAGAGCATAAAAGTTTACTGCTGACTAAAAGAGGAAAATTTAGTTTTATCATCCAAGGATTTTAGAAAAATGAAGAAAAATTAGTTACGGAAAAAAAATTCCTGAACAATGCATAGATAGGAAGAAGCAGAACAGACAGACGAATGGCTGCAACAATAGATTGACTGCATTTCACTCGACAAACTTTGAATTACTGTTTAAGAACTAAGCATTTGAACTAATAAAACTTTGAATTACTGTTTAAGAACTAAGCATTTGAACTAATAAAGTTTGTAGATGATGAAGGATTTCAAAAATCTCAACTAAACGAAGAAAAATTACAAAAAGGGAAGTCCAAATTAGGTTGCACTCCATGTGTTAATCCTCAGGGACTTTAATTTAACAATACTTCAGTGGCACTGAAACGCATTTCTGGAAAAGTTTTGGAGAATCGTTTTTAAAATAATTTTAAACAACTAAAAATGTGTTCAAAAAATTACTTTCTTTTGCTTCTCAATTTTTTTTTCTTTGAGAATTAACCGGCCAAGCAAAATTTCAAAACGCAAAAAAAATTTAAAAGAAGTTTGCATGCCAAACACAAACTTCAATAGGGGAAAAATCACCTAACATTCATGGATACAGACGAACACTAATCCAGCAAGAGATAATGAAGATAGATATCGAATTCCAGACACATTCTGTATTCATGTTTCTACCATTTTGAGATAACAGAACAACATAAAAGAAAATTCCTATTTTTCTTTTTCACTGGTGCCTATTACTTCTTTTATCAGCAGTTCAGAACAGAGCTCAGAATAATCTTTTTCTAAATGACAACCCAAATAATTGCAATGAAGTGATAGAGATGATGATTTGAAGATCTGAAAGCTTGTTTAAGGCATATTACTTGATTAGCCCGGATTCTCCCACTATACATTAATTCAGGGCGTCACGTAAAAGTAGTAAAAATGCTTCATACCTGTTCATTGTTTTTTTTTTTTTTTTTTTTTTTTTTTTGAGAAGGACATATCTATTCATTGTTTTAATCAGAGAATGCTTCAGGTCTATATATTATGAGAAGAAGCAGGTAATTTGATGGAAATTGTAAACAAACGTGAAATAAGTTAAGAAAGAAAACAATCAGCTTCACAATCTTATCCCCATAGGAAATGGAAGGAGAGCAAAGGATTTGTATTTAGTCCATTATCACAGTTATAACATTTCCTACGTCCTGATTTTCACTGTCCTCATAACTCTCCTATCCCCTAATAGAATTTGGATACAGAGGCAAACATGCAACAGAGGAACAAATTTCTCAAGTAGAGCTGGAAAAGGACTAAACAGTTGATACTTGTTAAATATAGTGCTGTCCAGGCCAAATCTTGGGCGCGCACCTTAACTAAATCCATTGGACAGTCTGCTACAACCCAGTGCGGGTAATCTTGTCCGCCTGGCTAGAGCAGATGGACTCACAATGAATATCATAATGAGAGTCAAACCCGAGATCCACGTAGTTATTTCTAAATATTGACCACTCAGCCTTCCAGAACTTGAAAGTAGTTGATCTAGCTGGTGCCTCTGTATTGTGTATGTGCTGCTCCAATGTTTAGATGGTAAGTGCTTATGTGGATGCCAGTATACTACGAAAGTTGGTTGGAATTGGTCATGCCACTTACTGGTGATTTGTGATAGCAGCAACAATCAAGGTATCAATGTTGGATTCTTATTTTCTAACATATGGTGTGCATGATGACAAATGGTGAGGATGGAGGAAAATGTTTTGTCAAATGATGAGGGAGGAAGAGATTTTTGCGAGTCATGTGCCAACAAGACTCATCAAAAATGGTCGATATGGTCAGTGAGGATTCATATAGCCGACTTCAACTTGTTTGAAATTGAGGCACAATTATAGTTGTAGTCTTGCGCCAACAAAGGGAATGGGGTCCATTCTCTTTCTCTCAAATTTGTGCAAAATAATCATGTTTACACGCCTATCAAGACTTTTAGTAAAATTTAGAAGTGGTGGGATTATGACCACCACCATCACGGATTGCACCAACATAGACACACCCGATATCTGCATAAGGATAAATATATGTAGGATGATAATAAATTTTTCGATGAGAAAGTGTAGCAGCGCTCTATTTTGGAAGTTTAGAAGGTAACTGGAGCTGAACGAGTTACAAAAGGGTCAACTAGATATGATCACGAAAATATGAGTGAGAAGGAAACAAAGTAAGATAGCATGTGGATCGGTAAAGGTACAATACCTTTCTTTTTTATTCCTTTCCTTTCCATCCTATTCCTTCAAAATGATTAATTTCAGAAAAAGTGATACTATCGAGATGTATACTGTTCTTATGCACTTCAATCCTACATTGTCATTGACATGCAAGAAGAAGAATATTACTACCTCCTCACTTTGATTGACTTTCACCTTTGGGCTGTCCTGAATTACCTCTTTCTCTATGTGGCAAAATCTATCTTGAAAGCCAAATTAACGTAGATGACACTGTATCTGTTACTTAGAATCTATATGCAATCTTTATACCAGCTTCGGTTCTTCTAAACAACATATTAACCCTAATAATATAATAGTAACTCATTAAAACATTATTCTTTTAATCGACATGAAAAGTCACCAAATTATACAATTTTGGAAAGAGGAAGTTCTTTCCAATGGGAAATCCACTTTTCTAACTCACAAGAAGGAATCTCGAGTAAATAGACAATTAACATAACAAGTCAATACACTCAAGACAAATAAGGTCAAATTTGTGAGGCAAATTTAGAGCAATGTTCAAATTAATAGTAATATTCCAACCATTTTCTTGATGTGTAAAGTGAATTTGCACAAAGGATCAAGTTCCAGCAACAACCCCACAAGACAAAGTCAATAGTGCAGATGCAGCTTATCTGAACTATTTCTATGCCTTGAAAATATTTACTAAATTATACTGGCTACTTGCATTTGCACCGAATATCTATCACCTAAGCACCCAAAATCCTACAAGATCTAATTCATGAAAGGCTGCTTGCAGGTTGTGTATATTCGACGTTAGCTTCCACAAAACGATTCTTGCTGAAACTTATTATATCCTCATATAACAGCAGCTCAGGTTTTAAGGACTGTTACTAACTACTCGAAGTAGCATGCTCAGAAGCCATAACATAAAGGAAACAACTTTCAATGAACAAGAGGCACCCAACTAATTCCTGAACTATGATTTGCAACTTCTCCATGAAAAACACCAATCTGCAGTATGATCAATTCCCAAGCACAACAACTGCTACTACTATGACTCAATCCTAAATTAGTTGGGTCAGTTACATGAATCCTCTACATCCACACCCTCCATTTGGGTTCGCTTCTTTCCAATACTTTATAATGATAGCAAACTGGAGGGTTCTCGAAAACTAAGAAAGACAACAATTCCCAGTTGGCCTAAACAGAAGGTTAAATTGAGGTATCAACAGGCACATGTAGAATACAGCAAATAACTAGATTGAAACAGAGAGAGAGAGAGAGAGAGAGAGAGAGAGAGAGAGAGAGAGCTAACCAATGAACGCAGAGGTGGTGGCTCCATATGAACAAATCGGAGAGACATCTTAGAGATCTCAGAGATAGCAGCCTCTCGAATATCAGCAAGGTCACTGGTTAACTCTTCATAGGCCGCCTCGAATGCCTCCTGCCAAAACTTAGGCAATCTGATCCGAGGAGTATTAGTATACACATCCCACATATGCTTCACCAACTTCTCCCTCTCTTCCATTTCCTACCAAATAAGATTAAATCATTTTCTCAAAGAATCAAATCAAACACTATTATAATGTACCCCCCCTGCACCCAAATTATTTGCCAGTGTTAGCTTATGAATAGTCAATTTAACTAATTCTCCTAGCTAAATCGAACTAGATTGTTCCTCATTTACAAATTAAAATTTTACAATTCTTCTCGTATCAAAATGGTAAAAACATTTAAGTTACATACATACTATTTTTTATACTATCAGTGAATTTTAACCTATAATAGCAGGTTAGTAAGTAACCATTTTCACTATCAATTAACGCTTATCAAAATATTTACTTGTATTACCTATTAAGTGATCTGATTGTATAAATATTTTCTACATTTAAGTTACGTACACTGACAATGTAAAGAGTTTGTACACTATCAGTGAATTTTAACATGTCATAGCAGATTAATTACCTTCATTTACTAGATTACCGATTAATTTTTAAGATTTACAAGTATTTACCTATTAAGTGAGATGATCGTGCAAAAATCATAGTCAAAATTGAACAATAATGGATGAACTTATTTACAAAAAGAAAAAGTATAGGGCATAGTAACCATACGATGACGTCGAGATTATCGGAGAGAGGCACATTGAAGTAATCGGAGAGACCGTTGAGGTTGCCGGCGGACCATCGGAGAGTAACAGTACCAGTAAACATTGACCAAAATGCTAGCAGAAGAATAGCGGCTAATGCCCAGAACTTGTACCGACCACGACCGAATATTGTGGCATCAGATGTGGAATTCTTCGAATATGTTGAAATTGTATTTGATGATGAATGTGTTGTAGGTGTTGAAACTGGTATGGATTCATCATCCTTCATTTCCACAATGATATATGGGTGTAAATTTGTTTGTTGAATGTGAAATCTCTGTGTCTGAAGGGGGATACTCAGATGTGGATGTACAGTTGAGTCGATCAGAGAGAGAGAGAATCTGTGTTACCGGGAAAGGGAAGGGATCTATGATTTTGCGGGCTAGCCACGTTGAATGGGAAGAGTTTGTTATTACGCGTGGATTGGATTGTAGTAAAATATGGCAACCGGCACGTTTAGCTATCAATAACATATATATTTACTTTTAAGCCACTATTTAAAATGTCTTTAGTCTTTAGTCATTGCTTTAATAAATTTTAACTATCCGGACGAAAATACCCTTCTGCTCATATTCTTAACTTTTAAACTTAACTTGAGGACTTCAGGATTACATGTCCTTAACTTTTGAACTTGTAACTCTAAGTTCAGGACTACATGTCCTTAAGACTTTAGGATTACATGTCCTTAACTTTTGAACTTGTAACTCTAAGTTCAGGACTACATGTCCTTAAGACTTTAGGATTACATGTCCTTAACTTTTGAACTTAACTTCAGGACTACATGTTGTCACGACCCAATTCCCGAACCCGGTCGTGATGGTGCCTCTCGTGAAGACAAGGCCAGCCAGACCAAACAGAACACCTCTTTTAAACAGTTAAATATCATAAATAGTTCTAAAGCATGATATAATATTCATAATTTGCGGAATTAACGATAACCTCAGTAAAAACCATTCCGACACAGCCCAAACCGGGGTGTCACAAGTCATGAGCAACTAAGAAATTCGGATACAAGTCTACTGAACACTAAATCTGATACAATAGTTCTAAGAACATGAAAATGATAAGATAAAGGAGGCACGGGGCTGCGGACGCCAACAGCTACCTCGTAGTCTCCGAATCACTGTCTGGACTGGGAGGATCAGCATTCAGGAGCGACTCTGCGATGCCTGAATCTGCACACAGGGTGTAGGGAGTAATGTGAGTACTCCGACTTAGTGAGTAATAATTATAAATAATGGCTGAAAGCATGAAAACAGGTAAGGCACAAAGTAATTGTATATCAAAGTAGTAAAAATTACGTAAAGCAGTAAATCAGTGAGGAAGTCAAGTGAAATCTCTTTAAATCAGGTAAAACAGGTAATTTCGCAGGTAAATAACGAGTAGAAATTTGCCCCTCGGGCACAGTATCAATCACTCAGAATAGTATCAGCTCCTCGGGCTCACTCTCATCACTAGTGCTCATTCTCAGCTCTCGACCCATGTATCTCTCATAATAACAGCAATCAGAATAACCGTTGCTGCGTGCAGCCCGATCCGTACATCGCTGCGGCGTGCAGCCCAATCCATATAGACAGTCGGCTGCGCTCACTGGGGGTGTGCAGACTCCGGAGGGGCTCCTACAGCCCAAGCGCTATATTGCTGCGGCGTGCAGCCCGATCCATATAAGTATTGTTGCGGCGTGCAGCCCGATCCATCACATATATAATATCCTCGCCATTGGGTTCTCAACCCCTCTCAGTCATTAACCTTACAGTCTCTCGGGCACAATAACAAGAGATAAGGATCCCAGCCCACAAATTCCTCTTATTTAGGAGTAATATGATAAAACCCGCTCGAATCATTTAAAACAGATAGAAACATGACTGAGGATATGATTTTTAACAAGTATAGCGAGGAAAATCAGTCAAAATCTCCGAAGGGTTCAGATAGTTGGCACGAAGCCCAAATATGGCAATCAGTCCAAATTATGATGATAACAAATAAAATTTCAGTCAAATACACGGTAAAAATCATCAATCGGGACGAACCAAGTCACAATCTCCAGTAGTAAAAGACTTCACGCTCATCATCCAGCGCGTGTCTCACCTCAACATAGCACTACGATGTGCAATCCGGGGTCTCAAACCCTCAGGACATCATTTTCAATCATTACTCACCTCGAATCGGCTAATTCTCTAGCTCGCGATGCCTTTGCCCCTCGAATTGGCCTCCACGTGCGTTGAATCTATCCAAAATCAGAACGAATACGTCACAATATGCTAAGGGAGCAAAGCCCAAGCGAAAACATTCGAAAAATATCAAAAATTCCGAAATTAGCAAAACCCGAGCCTCGGGCCCACGTCTCGAAATCGGGTAAAATTTACATTTTTAGAATCCTCATACCCTCACGAGTCTAACCATACCAAAATTATCCAATTCCGATACCATTTGGTCCTTCAAATCATCATTTTATATTTTTGAAAGGTTTCACAATTTTCTTCCCAAATTCCATCCCAAATCATGAATTAAATGATGAATTCAATGATAGATTCATGTACGCTAGCCAAATATGAGTTAGAATCACTTACCCCGATGAATTTCTTGAAAAACCTTCGAAAAATCGCCAAAATCCGAGCTCTCTAGGTCAAAATATTAAATAAAATCCAAAACCTTGTATTTATAAAGTACCCCTCAGATTTCAACCTCCGCAGTCCGCACAGAACCACCGCGGCCCGCACAAAGCCACCACGACCCGCACAAAATTACAGCGGCCCGCACAAAACCACCACGACCGCACTTTATTTTGTGCGGTCCGCACAACACATAACGCGGCCACACTTCTTTTTGTGCGGTCCGCGCCGGTGGGTTCCGAGGCCTGCAACCCTCCTGGACCTGCTACAGCTGTGATTTTGGCCTAAATCATCCCGGAACCTACCCGGAATCCTGGAATTCCAAACCAATTGCACCAACACCAAACTTGTTCAAAACCTCGGGACACTCACAACAACATCAAATCACCAATTTAACAGGGGATTCAAGCCTAAGAACTCCAAGAACTCTTAAATTATGCCTTCGATCAAAAGTCTACCAAATCTCGTCCGAATGACCTAAAATTTTGCACACACATCCCAAATGACCCAAAGAAGCTACTGTCACTCTCGGAATTCCATTCCGACCCCTATGTCAAAATCTCGCCTATCAATCGGAACCGCCAAAATATCAACTTCGCCAATTTAAGCCTAAATCTTCTCCACAACTCCAAAACCCATTCCGATCGCGCTCCTAAGTCACAAATCACCTCCCGAAGCTAACTGAACCATCGGAACTCACTTCCTAGCCTTCTAACATATAAGTCAACATCCAGTTGACTTTTCCAACTTAAGCCTTCTTAAAAAAGACTAAGTGTCTCATTTCTTACCAAATCCTCTCCGAACTCGAACTAATCAACCCGATCACATAAAACACAGATAACAAAGCATAAATAAGCTGAAATAGGGGAAAAAGAAGCGGTAACTCATAAGACGACTAGCCGGGTTGTCAGATCTTCCCCAACTTAAACAAACGTTCGTCCTCGAACGAGTTAAGAAACATATTTGAAGCCTTAAATAGGTAAGGATATCTGCTCCACATCTCCCGCTCGGTCTTCCAGGTAGCCTCCTCCACGGGCCGACCTCTCCATTGCACTTTCACTGAAGCTATATTCTTTGACCTCAGCTTTCGAACCTGACGACCCAAAATTGCTTCTAGCTCCACATCATAGGTCAAATCATTGTCACACCTCCTTTTCCTACCCCCGGAAGGGGAAATAAGGGAGTTTTTCCACTTTAAGTGACATTATTCGAAATAGGATTATTTATTTATTTTATTTAGAGTCGCCACTTGGGATGATTTATTTTCTGGTATCCCAAGTCACCGGTTTATTTTAAAATCCCAAATCGAGGAAATTTTGACTTTCCTTTTGAAGTCTGCGAACCAGAAATTCGGAGTAAGGAATTCTGTTAATCCGGGAGAAGGTGTTAGGCATTCCCGGATTTCGTGGTTCTAGTACGGTCGCTCAACTGTTATTATTGGCCTATTATCCGATTTTAATACATGTTTTAACCTATGGTATATTTTTAACTTATTAACCGCTTTTAATTATTTTTAGGAAGATTCAACATTATTTAAAACACGCCTTGAACCACGCCACATAAAATGCACCCACGATCCATGACACATTTTTTTTTGCGTTGTTGAGAATTGGAGTTGGGTCACATGAAATGCACACCCAAGTTTAAGGAAATTGATCTAAATAGCGCGCCTAAAGCAACTACGCACTTTCAAGTTTGCGAGGGCCATGAAAAATTCAACTAATGGCACACCTCGATTCTAATTTCAAAGGATTTTATTATTCGAAGTTATCATAATCGGGTTACATGAAATGTACCCCCGGATTTGGAAAATTAAGCATCGTAACTATGTCACGGGGATCGCGCCCATGGCCATGATGAATTGTTAATCGCGTCAATAGCATATTTGACAAAATAAAATTTTATGCAACATATGAAACTCGATGCAAAGCTGCTACCTATATGAAAATACTATTAATAATCAACTTTGTCAGATCAAAAGGGAAAATGAAGATACATTTTCATGAAAAGTTATACCTCTTAACCATGACAGTTATCAAGGTCAAATACATAGTGATAAATTACCTTCAGACCAATTAACATATCATTCTCATAAATAACTCAACTTTTAAATCCAGTGAGACACAATTTGGGATTTAGATTAGGGGATGACGCCTACAAAGAATACCTCAAAATACAATCAATAATTGCTCGAAGCTTAAGATGGTTTCACAAAGATCTGTTTCTTTTATCACTTGACCACATGAAGCTTAAGACAAACTAATTGGCCTAACAATACCAATAAATGAGAGACAATTAAGGCAAACAAAAGCATGGATCGTGAGTCTCAACATAGAGCACATGGAAGTTGAACAGCCTAATAATTCAAATATACGCTAAAACCCGAGGAAAACGCGGCCAAGAACAATACCAAACAGACTATTCAAACCAAAACATCAAAGTTTATGTGTCAACCCACCATTTTCACAATCAAAACCTTCAAACACGAAGACGAACAGAACATACCCATATCGAGGCCCATTCATCCAAAATCCAAAACATTCAAAATCCACAAAAACCGCCTCTACTAGCACTATAACTTAATGATTTTTATTCCTAAACTTTCAACAATCTTGGATCAACATTTTTAGACAGAAATATAAAAGAGAAAGAGATATGAACCTAAATTATAGCTCTCCGATTTAACAAAATTTCAGCAGTTACAACCTTGAATTAAGCAAATCCTCAAGATGTGATATCCTCCTAATTACAGCACAGTGAGACAAACAAAACCGGGACCGGAAAAACTCTAGCATCATAACGAACTCAAACAAACTCTGTC